ATTGTTCGGGAGCGCTCGCCGATACCGATCGGCATCCTCTCCTTTTGTACAGCCCTTTTGGTACCGGTTCACCACGGGATACCTACGACTCCGTTGCGCGGGAACAATTTTTTTTTGGATCTGTAATATAGAGTTTGATAATTCTAGGGAATTTTTTTTCTTCCACGTTTCTAGTTACGTTCAGTTGGTACGATTGTAAGGATCGTGGGTATTCGTGATAAATATGCGATTTGGTCTTGTGCCAAGTGAATGAAAGATCGAAGTGATACTATTGTTGCGCGACAGTGTCGACCTCTGTTGGCCGGTATGGTAAGGAAGTTGAAAAGTGTCAATATGGCGGCGCGAGTCGCGAGTGTCAGAGACTCTTGAAAACAAGCTGTAAATCATTACGAAATTATCTCCGTGCATAAAGTCCAGTCCATTTAGGAGTCTAAGTGGCCGCCATGTTGTTCGTGCTACGAGGGGGCCCCAACTGGATCTGACCTCATACTCGGGCACGTTCTTATCGTTCGAAACAAATGACTGGTCTGCGTCTGATAGCCCCCCGTTGGACCCCCTGTGGGTCCCAAATGGAGTTAAAAAATCATCGGACTCTCGGCATTCCGAACCTGTCGTCTAGGAACATGACATTTGTTTACTTTTATTCTTCTAATTGACTCACAATTGGGGATTCCAATAATACGATTTCGATTGAATCCTGAATTGACACAGTAAAATGAAATTTGCAAACGGCCACGATCGCATTTAAATTCTATTTTGAGTCTCAGGCAAACGGAAACATCGAGTGAAATGCGGCGATTACGTTTCATTAATGGTCCTGCTGCTCAGGGGGTTGGTAAACCTGGGTAAATTGTGGTAAATCTATTATGGTTGCGTGTCTTGGAATATTATACAGGTCTATTCAGTTCAAACCTACCAGCCAGATTTAACAGCTGTCCCGGGGTTGCGTTGGTTAAGCAGCAGTTGGCAAATATAACGTTTTCCAGTGATGACTGAAAAATTCGAGTGATCGGTACGTCCGTCTCTCTCTTACGTGCGTGAACGGTCATAAGTCCGTCACTCTCGCACTCGTAGGAGGTATAGGAAAATAAAAAAATACAAAATTCCAGCCCTTCCCTCTCGACGGATCGTATCATACATATTCCAAAATTCATTTAAAAAAAATGCTTTCTAACTTTCAACGTTAAAACATCTGAATAATCATACGTTCTCATTAATCCCTAAAAAAAATTACATGTAAAATCATTCAATTTTCCGTGTGCTCCTCCCACGTAAAAGTGCGATCCGAGTATCAACGTGGGTGCCAGCTGCCCACGCGTCCACTAAAACATCGTAAATCGTTAAAACCGCGAATGACCACGCGAGTAGAGACTTTTAAAAATACGTAATTACACATGGCGGAACACCAGGAACGACTGTGACCTGTGATCTCATTAGCAATTCCAGATTCACTGGTAAATACATCATAAACTGACTGTAAATCAAGACGGACCTTAGCACCAATAGGAAAGACATGTATATGTATAACAAATAAAAAGCCAGTCCCACACTAGACAACAAGTTATTCTACCCGAAGGCAGCTTTACCCATTTACGGTCAACGTGCCGTTTTTAACCTCATGGTATCCATACCCGATTGGCACGGCACCCATAAAGTCACTGTCCACATGTGAACTAGAATGAAAGCTGGACCGGAGCGACAAGTACAGGTTACAAGCAATAGAGATAGGCTTGAAGTTTGAGTTCAGTAAGTTGGCGTAGAGTCAGCGCGGGGCACCCTGGGCCGTTTCAGTCAGGTCAGGCCCAGCGATAGCGTACATGCGGTGTAATTGCAATTAGCATATATCACATTGGCGTAGCAGTGTTGTGAGCACTAGGACACGCGATGCCATTGGCGCCGACTTCGAATGCTTTTAGACGAGCCGTGCCACCGAGCATTCACATTAGAACACGTGTAAAACTATCGGTTACCGACTGTACCTACATACGGTAATGCACGACGTTAAATCTCTGGTTGACAAACGCGGCCATTTACCTTAAGTCGCGTACACATGTTACACATTGCGATACGTTAAAATATATAGAAAACGCAAAGCCGCGATTGCTCGAAGATAGCCGATATCTCAGTTAAAATCGTAAATTTCTCGCACAAGATTATTATCGGTCTACAGGCACGGGATAATAGACACACGGGAGCATCACGCTTCGACGCCATTGCGCGGAGAACAAATGTGCTTGGGTATCCCGTGCATAATTAATGAATTATCGTTAAACCACGTCGTAAATGCGTTGATGTTAAAATAATAAATTCACGGAATTCCATTACTAGTGCAGCCACGGGTCACTCGACCGTTCTCGTCACGCTCTCGTGCATTCGCCTCGTAACGGAGGAATGAATGGTCGTGCCGGTGTGAGGGCACCCTTAGGACGCCGTACGGTCGGCGGTTTAAAATCGTCTGATGGAAGCCATTACCCGTGATATCGAACGGAGCACGCAGAGAACGTCTTACATTTAACTAACCGTATTACGTGTTTTAGAGTGAAAAAAAATCTACAAAATTTACAGAGGCCTTGGTATAATTAACGAACAATCAAATTCAATGTTATTCGTGTAATTAAATGTCATATTTGTCATGGTCGTAGGAGACTCGATTGGTCGCAAGAATGGAAACGAATCCCGTTTATCGATGCAACAGTGTGTACAGTGAAGTCGGCCATGTTGACGGCAATTATAATTACTTGTAAAATAGTGAGGTCGTAAAGCGCAATTAAATATTATTACCCTTCCCTGTTATGGTCAGCGCAGCCATTGCTGCCAGCCATTTCTATTCGACTCCAGTACTCCACTCCATAACTCATCGATGTACCGTGGCTCTACTATAGATTCCAATTGGTATGGATAATTTTAATCGTACTTCTATCCGGATGATAACGCCGTTTTAATGTCGCACTGATTAAGACACGATTCTGACAATCTTCGTTTCTTGTTTTTTTTATTTACTTTCTAATCCAACCTGTTCTACTTGCCTGGACAAGCAATCACGTCCTTTGTGAATTCACGGAGAGTAAACCTAACCTAACTCAAGTAAGAACCTGATCGCGATCACTCCCCGTAGACCATGGTCCAGGCGTAAGAAATACGTAGACCTTAGTACCGAAGGTGTGGGCGATGATGATACCAGGCAAGCGTGGAGTGCGAGCCATTGTCGTTGCGATTGCCTGGCTGCGCGACTAATTATCAGGGACGCAGCGTCTTGGAAACTTGACTTAAATTTCTGGAATAATAATCTGGGGAAGTCCTCTCTAGGTGTGTGTATGTCTATGTAGATCCTAGGAAATATCTTCTAGCATATACACCAGACAGAATTCTACTATGGAATGGTACTGGACTGTGACCTTATATTAGTACCATAGAATTCGAAGGTTTAAGCCAAGTTTGTATTTTATTATGGGCCTACACGGTGTCACGTTGAATTGAGCCTTATGGCTCTGGAGCTCTGGGTTAGCGGCACAATGGAATCACCGATGAACGGCAGCGTGACGAATAGGCGTCACCGCTACGGTAACGTCTTTACTTCTGTGATGATGTTCCTGGTCGGGTCTATATAGACGTATACAGTAACATCCTGGACAATGGTCAGCAAGGAGTCTCTCTGGCTGCTTGGTCGGGACGTGGTATAGAGACGCCTGTTAACGTGTAACTCGTTCAGGAATTAACGCCATTAGCTGAAGACCCAGGGAGCTCGTGCATTCAAACTTTGGATCCTTTTTATTTGGGACGTTTACCGTCACTAATTCACAGATTGGACAACAAATCTTTTTTTATGCCGTTGAACAAAATTCCTTGCGACTAGGTACAGTGGACAGTGACCATGTTCAGGTATACATATATGCATCAGGAGGGAAATGGAAACCGAATTTTTCTACATCACCCTCAGGATAATAGGTATCTATATATCTATATTACGTGCACACGTATACATTAAGTATATGGCAGTGCATTATAGAAATAACGCCAATCTGGTGAAGCTGACGATCACCCAGAAGATGTTCCAGGAAAGAGTGAATGGAAGCGATCGTAAAACAATTTTCTATGGCAAGGAAGATCGCGAGTCCCGGAAGATCTCGTGATCTCGCGCAGTTATCAAAGAACAAATAATATCCCATGTATAAAAATGACAAAGGAATTGGTATACGTTAAAGTGACGTGACTTCTGCCAAGATAAGAGCCAGGAGAGCAAGATCAGCAGAATCACATTCTGATTGGCTAGGTTGGTCGCGGATCGGCCAGCCCCTTCTGTAATTGGTCGGCACTCAATTGCCGCTCATTAGGTAACTGCCTGTTTTTTGCAGAGCGGTGACTACGAGCCAGAGTAAAACCTGCCCCACCGAGTCAGGGCGGCTTCGGGTTTGCTGCTATAATGAGACACCGCGTCGTCCTGGACCAGAAAGAAGCTGGAGGTGTAGTAGGCAGACAAGATCGGTTCTGGATATACAATTGAAAGATCCCGGGCAACTCTGTCCTTAATTACCAGATTGAGAGTAGAACATAGGATAACCTGAAATTACAAAGATCTCTTAGTATAATGATCCATGAGTAGCTCACGGAAATTCTGTCTTTTACTGCCTTTCATTCTCTATTTCCTGTCTGAAGTTCATACGAGACGGAATTCGATCCTGACTTCGAGACTTAATCGACACTGGCGTTCGATTACTTGGAAACGTAGAAAATCACCCGATGACTCGACTCCTTTATCGCCATTGGGAACGCATCGAAACTGGACGCGTTTACACGCCAGATTCCCATCCCTTGTACACATTTCTTTTCGTTCTCTGTTACTTCCCGTTTGGTCTGTCTTTATCTTTGTCATTCTCTCTCTCTCTCTCTCTCTCTCTCTCTCTCTCTCTCTCTCTCTCTCTCTCTCTCTCCCTCTCTTTCTCTCTGTCTGTCT